TCTACAGTGAATTCCCTAAGGATTTGCCACTGTCATGCCATACACAATCAAATGCTATCTTGAAATCAACAAAGTTGTGAAACATATCCTTCTGATGTTGCAAGTGTTTCTCTACAAGGATCCTACAATTGAAGACCTGTTCCAAACTACCTGACAAGTTTGTGTGAATGAATGGCAGAATAGGGACTGAGAGTGATAGTGAATAAACAAATGTTATTAATAACTATAAATGACAGGAACTTGTGGAGAGCCATTATTACTCATGTCTTGAAGGGACATGACATGCAGAAGAAAAGATCAAATATTAATTCTGTATATGTTGTCATTTTTCTATGGCAAAGGTTAACTTGTTATAATAATGAAAATCAATAAAATTTAAGTTTAAGCCATTGGTGTGCAATTCAATTCCTAATTTAACTAAAAAGAAATGGAACTTTCAATAGGAGGCAAAATCTACTTGTTATACATTCAGTTATGTGTGTATATAGGGATATGGTTAGACTCTCCCAGTGATTTTGATGTAAGATGGTTCTGAATGTTAACAAGCTTGTGGGTTTATGTGTATTTTTTTTATATGAAGGTGCGTGTTCACTATATAAACAAAGATGATAGAAGCATACCAAAAAAAACTTGTTTTTCTGCCATAGACACTTATTTCTTATATGTTGACTGTATTGAAACAAAGTTAAATGTCTCTTGAGTATGTCCATTTTCCTTTTTGGTTCAGAAATTATTTATGGGAAGTAAGGATAAAAATGAGTCTGGTTGAGCTCAAGTTAGTCTCATATTGAGTTAAAATAGTTGAATCTCTACTTCATGAGTAGGGTTGCTGAAAACATGTCAGAACAATCTTGTTGGAAGTGGAAAAAGAAAGATTCTGTCCTTTCTGAAAGTGGGGTCATAAAATCACACATGTGACCAGAAACCCTATCCGGTTTCTTTATGACTTGCATCATGGAAAAATGAAAATGAAAAAATTTTTTTTATTCTTTATTATTTTATTTGTTTTATTTCATTTTCCCACATGGTCCAACTGTTGAGTTTATAACTGAACTGCCAGCCTAACCACACCCCTAATTTGGTTAGAGTGATGAAGGCATATGTAGAACCAAAACCTTACTATAGAAAATAAATCAACATAGAAATGTTGCACAGTGTGCTATGAAAGCTCCAAATAATCCTTTTCTGGTTTGAATTCAGTTTTCCTTCTTCTTGACTGATCACCACTCAAGTAAGAGAGCTCAGTCTGTCCTACTATTTACCCTATTAGTAGAGGGAGATAGATTTATGCCCTTTTCCAAGGGCATTAGCATGAAGTGGAACAGAATTGACCATAATTTGAATTTAACCAAGTGATTTCACTTTCTCTGTTGATAAGTGTTACACTATTTCACATATTCAAACACCAGACTGAATTTTCATTCCAATGTAGTATATATATATATATATATATATATATATATATATATATATATATATATATATATATTTATTAAAGACATTTTTTATGTTTAACTGTAGCAAATGAGTCGACTTCAACAGTGTAAGGGACGCAACTCTTTCCGTCTGAAAATGTCTGACACGCTGCAATGAAAAACGATGTACACCAAGCACGGGTGTAATGTTGATCTGCCAATGTCTCAAGCAACCTGCTTTTATGGAGCCCCACACACCTCATTAGCATGTGTGTAACGCGACTTTTTGCGTGACTATACGAGACCGTGAATATTAAAAGTCACGGACGCCATCTTGGATCTTTTCTTTCCTTTCTCAACCCACAGGCCAGGCAGATACGAGAGCGTTTGTGAGGTAGGCCGTTTCTATTTTCCCCCACTCCCCTGATCTCATGATCACAGAGTTGACAGGGAGGTGGTGATCGCTTGCGCCGGGTACTTCTTCGAAGAGGGACGCTGCGAGCCTCATCGTTGCTTAGGTCTGAGGGTCGAAAAACACCGCGTCCCTTGGAAGGCTACTGATATCGAGTCACTGCCTGATGGGGCTGGCGTGAACCAGAGCGATGCCTCACTGGTCTCAGATTCGATTCGCTCTCATCGTCCAGCGGTGGTTGCAACTGGCGTCGCCGGACGCAGGTCCTTAATGTGACGGGGCACACCGTCGACCTGTACCGCCTGTGGGCTGATCACCTCAGTGACGCGTCCGGTTCTGTATTTCGTGGTGCACTTGCTGTGCGGATTTTTAATCCAGACGACATCGTCTTTCTTCAGCCTCTCTCCGGTTACTTTCAGTTCCGTCAGTGGGTTGGTTTCTATGCCCTTCACTCTGATGTGGTACCTATGCAATGTGTCTGCTGGCGCTGTAGCTTACTCCCCTTGCCCGTTTCCCGGACAGCTTCCACGTGGCCCAGCTTGTCGCACCTGTAGCAACGCATACGTCTCCGTGTTCCTCGGTTATGCGATCCTTCGCACCGCTTCGGCAGTCTTTGGAGAAGTGGTTCAGTCCGCCACATTTATAGCACCTTATGTCCTCAGTTGGCGGTGCGGGTGCTTCCACAGCTGCTGAGACCGGCTCTGTGTCATCTTTTAGAATATTCCGGGCTCTGGCCAGTAATTCGTCTAGCCCCAGCTCATTGAGCCTTGACGATGCTCGTAGCAGTCGACTTGCGTTGTCTGGGAGTCCTGCCAGAAAGGCGCATCCTAGGATTTGGTCGCTTGCTCCACCAAACGGTGCGGCCAGCTTCCTAAAAAAGGCCAGAAAGACATCTACTGTTTCATCTGGTCCAAGCCGTCGTTCGGTAAACTGCCTCCAGGCGACAAAGGGGTCCGCACCAAATGCTGCGTATAGAGCTTGTTTTATTTCCTCCAAGTCTGCGTCATCCCTTAGCTGCTGATACACAGCGTAAGCTCCTTTGGTGAGTCTAAGAGGGATGACCAGTGCGGGATCTTTAATTTTACACAGCCGGCAGACCCGCTCGGCCTTTTCCCACCACTCGACCACAGATGGGCTAGTGGGGGAGCCGTCGAACTCTGGTATTAACTTCAAGTCGAATCTGTCCATGTTGTAATAATTGCCGAAATAGCTTGTAGCAAATGAGTCGACTTCAACAGTGTAAGGGACGCAACTCTTTCCGTCTGAAAATGTCTGACACGCTGCAACGCAAAACGATGTACACCAAGCACGAGTGTAATGTTGATCTGCCAATGTCTCCAAGCAATCTGCTTTTATGGAGCCCACACACACCTCATTAGCATGTGTGTAACGCGACTTTGCGTGACTGTACGAGACCGTGAATATTAAAAGTCACGGACGCCATCTTGGATCTTTTCTTTCCTTTCTCAACCCACAGGCCAGGCAGATACGAGAGCGTTTGTGAGGTAGGCCGTTTCTATTTTCCCCACACTCCCCCCTGATCTCATGATCACAGAGTTGACAGGGAGGTGGTGATCGCTTGCGCCGGGTACTTCTTCGAAGAGGGACGCTGCGAGCCTCATCGTTGCTTAGGTCTGTGAGGTAGGCCGTTTCTATTTTCCCCACATTAACGTTGTTATTTATAGATACAAGTATTTAAGCAAATGCTCTGTTTATGATAAACAGTATTAAATAACATTTACCGGCCTGAATGTCTGAGAAATTTTCATAGAAAATATTCGTTCTTTGACAGGATTCGAACCTGCATCCTATACGGAACCGTCATTTACGCTGACATGCCTTACCTTTGGGCCACAAAGAACCTTTTCGGTAGACAAGGTCGAATTTACTGCTTATAAACTTCAATTTTCCATGAATCTCGTACATTCATAACTGCTCTGGCGTATCAAATGTAAACAAATGACGTCATATATTAAGAAATGGACAAGGTCCGACAATTTATTTATTAAAGATATTTTTTATGTTTAACGTTGTTATTTATAGATACAAGTATTTAAGCAAATGCTCTGTTTATGATAAACAGTAATAAATAACATTTTGCAGTTATGAATAATGTGTATATATATATATATATATATATATATATATATATATTTAAGAAATGGACAAGGTCTGACAATTTATTTATTAAAGACATTTTTTATGTTTAACGTTGTTATTTATAGATACAAGTATTTATATTATCCTGTCAAAGAACGAATATTTTCTATGAAAATTTCTCGGACATTCAGGCCGGTAAATGTTATTTAATACTGTTTATCATAAACAGAGCATTTGCTTAAATACTTGTATCTATAAATAACAACGTTAAACATAAAAAATGTCTTTAATAAATAAATTGTCGGACCTTGTCCATTTCTTAATATATATATATATATATATATATATATATACACATTTACTTGTATAAATAATTTCTTTGTTAGACATACATCCAGTTATTATTTGCATTAATGTCTTAATCAGGGTAAATGCATACTATCTCGAACCCCTGATTGGGGTCCCTGGGCAAGTGCTTTCTGACTCTTGCTATCTTATCAACATTTGTTTTCTTCTATCCATATTTATATATATTACAAATGAAAGTGAGCAAAACTGATTATTAAAGGATGAAAAATTTTCATAGAAATTGATGTCATTCTGTTTTTTTTCCCTTTTTATCCAAATCTGTAAATTTGTTTTGCTCATGCTAAGTCTCACAAAAACTCTATATAAAATTCACTATTGTTTATCCAAAATGTTGAATGTATTAAAATTAGTCAACTTTTTAACAATAAAAATCTCCAGTTGATGTTAAAAATTGTTGTAAAACATTGTTGATGGAATTATCTATTATGATGTCTGTAATTTGTATTTAGATACATTGTATATATTTTCCATTTTTCTAGTTGAATTGTTCACCTATACAATAAAATTTGTATTTTATATGAATACTACCTTATTAAAATTGAGATGTTGTGGAGTGGGGCATATCATAGATTCTGGGAGGAGCAACTGACAATTGCATCAGCTTTGGTTTTATCCTTTGTAGACATTCAGCTTACTAGGTAAATTCCTCCTGTTTCAAATTCTGAGATGAGTCATTACTATCATTTCATGTGTTTGAGGGTTATGACCAGATCATGTTAAAAGACTGGTTTCCATATGATCACTGAAGTTAAGCAACATTGAGCCTGGTCAGTACCTAAATGGATGACTGCTTGGGATTACCAGATGCTGTAAGCTTGGCTGTGCAGGTGGTGTAGTGAATAATGGCTTGGAATTGTTAATCAGAGAGTAGAGTTCCAACTCTAGTTGGGTTTGTTATATTCACTTACTGGCAAAAATACCCTTGGAAAAGGTATGAATCACTCTTCTCCTCCAGGTATGGGTTAATTAATAATACTTGTATCAGTAAATCATTATTATCTCCAATAAACAAAAATTCTTACAATCTAAAAATATTTTTGTCTTTAAATAATCTACAAAGAGTTGGTAAGCTTTAGAAAAAAAATCAATCAATAAAAAACAAGTTGTTTGAATACATCCACCAAAATGTAGTCATACAACCAAAAAGACATGAAAATATTAGTCTGAATATGGAATAATAATATTTTCTTCTTATTCCAGATACTGCTATGTATTATAAGGGTTTCAACAATTTTTAATTTAAAACTTTGTTTCACCAGTACAGTATTAGTGTAAATAATATAAATGTCTAACAGATCTTGATACTTTTCTGACTGAACTTCTGGGATGAACATTTATCATTATTTACACTATTTACAATACTATTTTCCTCATCTTTGTTGTTGTTATCACAGCATTTAATAAAGAAATAAAACAAATGACAGCAAGTCAAGCAGGTTGTCCTAGTGTGTTAAAGTTTTGGTTTGTAAATTTGATGACAGTAATTGTGGGTTTAATCCCTGGGCAGTGTGTACTTGGACTCAGTGGAAATGGGATGAGCAATAATTGAGCAGTACTAAAAATAAGAACTAGACTTGAGCAGTGGAATGAAAACAGTCTAGCCCCTATAGATTAAATAAAGGGTTCAGTTCAGAATTCCCTGTACATTACCCAGATCGATATACATATGATGAAGGCCAGAGTGCACAATGGCCAAAACAATGTGATAACAATAACAAAGATGAGGACAATAGACTGAATGTAAATAATGTAAATACTTGCTACTTTTGTTTTATATATTCCATATGGTCTGATTTGAAAAACCTGCTAAAGATAACAAAATCAAATCATACTTTGTTTGCCATCTTTTGAAACTACTTATCCAATTTCAAGTTCAAATGTGCTTAATTTATTTTACAAATATGCACTCTTAACACCAACTACAATATCCTGCTTTCATCATACCATTCATCATATCACATATAATAAATTACTATTTGTTTATTACTCCACACTCTTTTATAAACAACTGTTATCAATTATTTTCCAGTTCAAATAAAGCCTTGTCAGAAATGATTTGCCAGTTTTTCAATGAACTGATGGACCACCTTTTTAACCAGTTGCATGGAATATCTCTACCCACTGCAATTTCTAATGGAATCAGGAATTGCAATTGTAAGCATTCTTTTTTATATTTTAATTAATTGAATCTTAATCTGTTATATGCCCGTAATTTTATATACAAAATTGCCTAATAAATTGCCTAAAGAATATGATACATTTTATAGTACAAAATTGACTAATAAGCCACATTTTATAGTACAAAATTGATTAAGATACATTTTATAGTACAAAATTGACTAATAAGCCACATTTTATAGTACAAAATTGATTAAGATACATTTTATAGTACAATATAGACAAATCGGGCACATTTTATAGTACAAAATGGACCAATAAAAGGGATATTTTATAGTACAAAATTGATTAATAAGGTACATTTTATAGTAGAAAATTGACTAATAAGGCACATTTTATAGTATAAAATTTATTAATATGGTACATTTTTATAGTATCAGTCAGAACAATGAAAATCTATATTAGACTCGCTCTTTCATTTGCTTTGGATTTGAATTTTTTTTTATTTGGTACTTCAGATGTAACTTTTAGTCTACACTTATTCTAATTCCTCAGTTTTGATATTTCCTTTTTTGTTTTAAGTATACTTATTTCCTCTCATTTACAGCCCTGTTCTGACAGATGTAATATCAGAAGCATGTCACTACTCTATCACCATTTCCATTGCAAATGTTCAGACATGTTCCATTCTTTAGTTTCACCAGTCCGGCTTTTTACAGCTTAGACACACCCTGCTATATACACCGGGTTGAATCACCCTCATTCTCTTCATGTTTCATTTGTAAGAAGGAAGTTACACTCAGAAAGCTCCTTCCTACTTTCTGGAACAAACACTTGTGTAGATACTTCTTCAAATATGACGAGTGGTAGCACTTGTTAGGGTTCCCAGCTATAGGCAAATAGTGAACGCCCAAACTGGGGTCAAAACACTATAAAAATACATTTTTATAATAAACATTGCCAGCAATACATTTTGACAGTATAAAAAAAAAATTACCAAATCTCCCAGAAAACTAAATTTCAGCATTAAATCTCCCATAAGGAGTTGATATGCTGTTAAACAAACCAAACCCCAAACACAACACGGCTTGAAATACCAATTACTGTACAATTACCAAAGTTAAGCAACATCAAGCCTGGTCAGTATCTAGATAGGTGACTGCTTGGGAATAATAGGTGTTGTAAGCTTGGATTTGTGGGTGGTGTAATGGATAATGGCTCAGAATTGGGAATTAGAAAGCTGAGTTCTTATACCTGTTGGGTTTGTTACATTCACATATATGCAGATACCCTTGGAAAATGTATGAATTTATTGCAATATTTGTTAAATTTAAATATTTAATGATGCAATAGAAGAATTTCCACAGGTTTTTTTTTTTTTTTTTTTTATCACCATGGAACTTGCAAAGAGCTTATTCAATTATTAGCTTAAGAATTATGATTCATCCAAAAAATTCAAATGGGAAAACCATGAGATTTTCACTGATACTGTACATATAAATTAATTAAACTGTTAGGTTGATTCATTCTCCTCAGATAGGATTCAAGTTTACTCACTGCCATTGCCTCATATAAATAATGCACCATTCCATTTTGATTTCACAGAAAAACAGAATAAAAAATTAATATACTATTTGGTTTTAGTAAGAAAAAATAAAGCATACATAATATGAAAAAAGAAAGAAGATAGTGGAAGTGATAATACTCTCATACATTTAATATCGGCTAAAGTGAAGTGAAAAACCATGTCATTTTTAAATGTTTTAATTCTTTAAATAATGATCTGCATTCATACTTATGGTTTTTATTGCAATATTTTGTTAACATTAATAAGCACAAATATTTAACAATGCAGTCGAGAAATTTTCACAGGTTTTTATTGTTATGGAGCTCACAAAGAGCTTAGTCAATCAGACAGAAAATTCAAATTGGAGAACTGAGATTTTCACTTGTACTGTGCATATAAATTAATTAAGCTGTTGTTAGGTTCATTCACTCTCCTTAGATATGATTCAAGTTTACTCACTGCCATTACCTCATATAAATAATGCACCATTCTGTCATCAGATAATTCAAATAGCAAAGCTGTGAAATTTTCATAAGTTCTGCTAGTTTAAAATAATTCCATTGCTAATTTTTCAGTTTTGATTGATCTTTTAGTTTCTACTTTATCTGCTTTATTGCGATCTAGAAAGATTATCTACTTATCCTGATCATTGCTTTTGATAAACATAATTGAGAACGTTCATAAAAAAAGATTGAAACAATAAGATTGAGTCAGTCAAGTTTCAATTATCATAAATAATCTAAATTCTTCCATTTGGGAAATAAATGGTGTCATATAGTTTTATAATGAAATAAAACAAAATCTCAATCATATACAATTATATTTAGCTAAAAGGGAAACATCTGAAAATTGCCTTTCATCCTTCTCAAATTATTAATATCCAATTGGATATTGTCTGTTAATGCAATGAATTATATACACCTACACTAACATGTCAATATTGTTGACTGTTTAGCAAGTGTCTAGTTCATTTTCATATTTAAATAATCAAAGAATAGAAATGTAAATATTCAATACATCATACAGTAATTTATTTAATATACTCAATCTTGCTATTTTTGGATTTGCTTAGTATCTGCTTCATTAGATGCATATGTGTGTATATATATATATATATATATATATATATATATATATATATAAAAAATAATACCTTCTTGATGATGGTTATCAAGCAAAAATATTTCTCTACCCTAAGGTATTTTGCATATTTTGGAAATGATCAATATTATAAAAAGATGAAATTGGATCCACATTATAATTAGTTGATTGTATGTAACTCCTAGAGTCGCATTCCTCACAAAAGAATTTACTTTTATATCTGTTAATTCCTAATTCTTTAAAATAAATATTGTTTTCCACTCATTAGATGCAGAATTTAAAAAAAAAAAAAAATTACCCTGCGTCCAATACAGCATTATCATGTATGATAGGGACATGAAGACCATGAAAAAAAACTGGGTTCACCAGGAATAAATGAACACATAGAGCTTAACTTTGAAAATAGGATTCCTGGACGTGAACAAACATGATATCAATAAAAATATCCCTGAAAAATTCACCCAAGAAATTAAAAAAATTTATGGAATTGCACAATATTTTGCTGCTTGTTTTGTAGAAATCCCAGATTTTATAGAAATATTTGTTTGCTATCTTCGGCTTGCTTAGTGTGTGTTTTTGTTGATATAAAGGTATTGAAATTTGCTTTTCTGTATGTATAGTATTGGACTTCATTTACCAACAAGTGCTATATTTCTGTATTTTTGCCTATTATCATATGTACTAGTGTTCACTGATACCAGTAGATTTTTTTTGTAGTTATTATGAATTTATTATATGTGCAGATGTTACTCCCTGAAAAACAACTAAAACAATTTTCAATAAATGCATGCTGAAATGTACTAAAACTCTTCATTTCCAAAAAATGCCCTGTTAATTAAACCTTACTTCATTTCTGTTACAAAAAGTACCAGTAATATAAAATGTGCAAGTGTTTCTACATAGTGAGAATGTTGCATAAAAGTAAGGTTATAATTTTGAAGTTTTTTGGTGTGAGGTGTGCATTTTTTTTCTAAATATTCCATACTAATTTCTAGGTGCATCCAATAGGTCACCAAATATGGTAAATA